CCATATGTAGCATTCTCACAGAAAAGAATAAAAATTATAAAATATTCAGGCCACCTTAAAAAAAATCCAGAAAATATATATATACAAAATTCAAAAACTTATGTCTTATAACATTACTTGATAGATGAACCATAGATTTTACTATTTGGCCTTACAACACTAGGATGCCTACAAATAAAAATAAAGCAAAGACCTAAATTTTTACAGTCACTTCTCCCTAATTGCAGTTTGCTATGCAATGGAATGCAGAAAATGAAGGGCTCATCACAATTACTCCGATCTTTGGTGGGGAAAATAATGTGTGTGAGTGTGTGTGTGTGTGTGTATGGATATATGTGTGCGTGTGAGTGTGTCAGAATTTTCCTCGTGATGACAGTAAATTAGTTTCTTTCCTAGTTTTAAATGAGTCCACCTTTAAAGTAACTCATTAGGCTAGAAGTCTCATTATTAATTCCACCAGCAACATAAGATAAAACTTTGAAGATATTTTTAGTTACCTATGGAATCTAGACATCTTGATTATGAATAATCCTATCTAGGTAGACTAGAATCATAAAACTTCCTGAATTAAAAAACATTCATATGAAAAAATAAATATGAAAAAAGCAATCTGTTGGGTACAGATTCTAAGCTGCCTAATCATGATGATCATGTTCATTTATTCCTTCCTTCTTTCAAATATTTAAGGAAGGATTGTTATATGCCCAGCCCTATGCTAGAAACTTTCGATATACTGGTCATCAAAAACATACGTGTTAAAACACCAAGGTCAAGAGTTTGGATCCCTATACTGGCCAGCCACAAAAAACAAAACAAACAAACAAAAATACCTGGTTCCTAGTCTCATGGAGTTTAGTCTAATGGAGGAAACAAACATAAATAAAAGTATTGCCCCCCCCCCCAAAAAAAAAGATGTGTAACTAAATACTGGGAGCAGATCTGTGAAGAAAATTCTTCTGCAGGCAATAGAGGCTTTTAAGGCGCACAGCAGCAAGTTCAGATCTGCATTTTAGAATGAGAAAACAATCTTGCAGTTTCATGACATTCCAGAGTACAGAGGCATTTAAGGTAGCAGAACCTAATTGCTACGCAGGAATACAATGTTAACATTCTTCTAATTCTTATGAAAGGTACCAAGGAATTTTCAGTGATTATAAATACAGGGCCACGTTTATTACTGATATCCTCAAAGCACTTTGGTCTTGCCATAGCCCAGAGCCTTGGTTCAACAACTACTAACTCCACACACTGCTTAATGAGTAACTNACCACACTCCCAAGCGGCGCACTCTCCAGTGCGCCACCGGGCTGGCCCGGGGTGGTACTATTCTAATCCCCACTCAACAGATGAGGAAAGCGAGGCACAGAGACTTAGTAACACAATGAGAGGGCCCTTGTTCATGCAACTAGTGGCCAGTGTGGACAAGAGGAAAACTCACTGCCGCTCCCCTTCATAATACACTTTCACACAACGACAAAATCACCTAACAATGCTTTTTTCAGAAGATATCCCCGTTGTTAAGTGATGCATGACTGTACTGATACATCCTACAAATGTAGATGAACTTTACACTAAGTCAAAGAAGCCAAACACAAAAGACCACATACTGAATGATTCCATTTATATGAAATATAAAAATCATTTGTATACTTTGCCAGAGTGTATATGTAAGGTAAATGAATTATATCTCAATAAAGCTATTTAAAAATCTACACAGAACAAAAATAGCCATGAGTTAATTACCTGAAAATATAAATTTAAACATTAAATTCTAGGATTAAAATGCCAGGAAAACATGAAACAAACTGTTATCTAATCAATAATACTGTATCCTGGATGATGAAAGGATAAGGTAAGAGAAGGGAAACGGACCATAGGGAAATAAGGGAAGGAGGAACCAAAAAGCAAGCTTTACCCTGTGTCTCTAGTACTGTCCAAGGCAGGGCCAGTACAGTTGGCCAGTACAATACCATCACACATTGTTATTCACTGTAAAGATCATTTTACCAACTCTACTTGCTGATTTCAAACCTACCAGGCCACTTTCTAATTGCAAACTTCCCAGGCTTTTCTAGTGGGAATGTGATGAACAGATGATTCGGGTACACAGCTCACTAGACATTAATTCCCTGATTTAGATTCCTCATTTATGAGATAGGCTAGTATAACCCATTCCTCATTAGACTGATGAGCTTTGGTTCCTCCTACAAACTACTCCTCATTCTACAAAACTCATGACCAGTGACTCTTAACCAAAGGGACATTCTCACGACAGGTTTCCTAAGTCTAATCTAATGTACACCTGGGGCAGGGTTTCCCCAGCCTCTCTCCCCTCCACTGATGAACACTGGCACCATGTGCCACTGTCATTGCCCGGCATGCACTGGGTAAGTCAGGCCGGCATGCTCTGGACCGTGAGGTTCCCACCAAGATACTGCCAGCCTGTGAGGCGGGACTACCCAGCCTTTCTCAGTATACCTCCAACTCAGTTCTCTCTAACTTCCATACCCTAAGATCCTTCCTAGCATTCCATTATTTTATCGAGTCCAACCTTACTCTACAGATGCAATAACTGAGGCCCATCAAGCTTAAGGACCTTACCTAAAATCACACAGCTAATTAATGGCAGTACTTGAACTGGAACCAAAGCCTGGGCATCCCAGCCTGATGTTTTATTCGTTATGTGGTGCTGTACGACTTGTGACCACCATTTGAATGCTCGGCTTACATCTGTGTAAGGGGTTACTCACCCATGCTGAGCAATCCCCTTCTTATGCACATGGTAGCATGTCAGAACTTTAACAGTATTCTCACATACTATTTAACACCAAAACTATATATCAGGTCCAAAGAGATTTTTTTTAAAGCCAGTCAAATCTGGCAGGGGGAGGTTGTATACCATTAATAAGTTCTGATAACCCATTGCCGTCTGACTAGCCCCAAAAAGATTTCTTTGAATTTTTAAAAATTCCTATAAAATTTTATGTCTTTATATTCATTTACATTCATCGACTATTTCTGGAGG